ATATTCAATGTCATTCTATTATTAAATAAAAATTTTAAAAATAAAAAAAAACAATTAAAATAACATCAATACAGGTAGTCCTTATTTGACAAATAGTTCTTTAGCAACCAGTTCAACATTATAGCAGATAACCCCCAAGCTATTTATGTCCTAGTTCCAAAGTTTATAGCCACTATAATTCCTCCCCCCTCACCTTTACAATTGACCACAAATGCTGCAGCACCCCCTCTCCCAATCTCCCTCAATCCTCCACCAGGTTCCTGCAGGAGGATTCCTCCTTAGCTGCTGAAACTGAGTATTCAGTCGTTTCTATAGACTTTGTCACTAAATATGAAGCATCTATTCTAGAACCAATGGATAGGTTTTCCTACAGTCAGTATCTACTAAAATTGCCGCAGTAGTTTTTCTGAAAAAAATTGTGAGCCAAGCTGACCAGATTGTGCAAACAGCCTTGTCTGTAAATGTTGCTGGTGAGAAGCAGTGTGCTATTGATTTCTCATGATGAGTAGCATGGTTTACTAGTGCTTGTACTTTTTTATATATAATTTTACTGTGTTGATTTTGAATGTTTGGTTTCCTGCTGTCTTCCCATGCTGCATATCCAGCATTGGGAGTGGGGAACATTTGCTAATAATATATTTTTATAGTTAGTATATTTTCTCAGTTTAGTGCTGAAAAGTACAGTTTGCATCATGAGAGGCTGTATGTAGCCAGGATTTTGAAAAGATCTCTGGCAAGCCTTCCTGGCAGCTCATAGAGCAAAGAGGTTAAGCAAAGAAAGGTGTGGATGGGGGCGGGGGACACAGAATAAGCAAAAATAGGTTTCAGTCTTTTCCCTTGTCCTGGACAGATCTTCTTCTCATGAGAGAACTGAGAATTTTATTCCTGATCAATTAAACTCTGATTTACTGTGGTAGGATTTTGATTCCGAAAAAGATTAATAAAGCATTAGCTATGTCCCTGATTTATCATGCTGAAAAAAATGATTCCAGACATTATTAAAACAGTTTGGATCGATCAAGTGTATTTTCTCAAATCCATAAATTGCTAACGTTGGCTAAGATAATTGGAAATGGGTGTAGATTTCGCCTTTCTCTCCAGTCTTTTTAAAATGTTCATTTCATCCCGTAATTTTTTCTTCATTGTGCTCTTTAATGCCGTAATTACCTTAATTAATACTTACCATGAAATCATTTGGGCTATTAGTAGGCACACATAATTTTGAAAATTGTGGATGAAAGTATCCATAATTTTGTTTCCCTGTTTAATAAAGCATGCCGACTGAGGAATCCTGGAAGTTGAAGTCAACACATTTTCAGATTGCTAAGTTTCAGAAACAGTGGTCTAAACTCACCCACTGTGCCTCATGACTGAATGCGTTCTCTCACCCTCATCTGGCACATTAACCATTACAATTTACTGTCCTGGCTCTCTGCTCACAGAATTTCTTTTTCATTGAGGGAGGGAGGGCGGTGTAGTCAAAGTTTGGATCTGCTGTCCTATATTTTAAAAAAAGTAGTAAAGTACTTATAATTTACAACATCACATTTCTTTCTATCATTAACTGGCTATAACACCACCTACATTTTTAGTTTGCACTCAGTTTAAGTTAAATTTATGTTCTGTGTTATTTTGCTCTAGACCTCCTCAGGTTTTTCTGGAAACCCAGCTATGTTAATGTTCAACTCAGTTGCTACTTTCAGAACTCCCTGCCTATGAGGCTATAGAGAAGTTTTTATTTAACTGTAGATGTGTGTGTGTGTGTGTGTGTGTGTGATTGTATGTCTGCATATTTCTATATCAGTGCCTCTATTTATAGACCGTCCCATTTGTGAGAGGGTGGGTACAAATTTTCATAGGAGGCACAGCCCTAAGATGTAACCAATATAGCTGCAAATTAGTGTGGTGAGCTTGAGGCCAAAATGGGTGACTTGTTGATCTTTTTCTGTGGAATAAAGTGTGGCCTCAAAAGCAAATATTTAAGCAAGTGAGGATAGGGCTGGAATTTTCCCACTTCTCTGCTATTTTACTTCTGCAATCTTCTAATCATTCAAAGAACATCAAGAAACAATGTTTTGCAAGGAGTCCTTATTTAACAACAGTAATTAGGACTGGAATTTCTGTTGCTAAGCAATGCAGTTGCAAAACGCACCATCAAATAACTGCCACTTAGCAAAGGCATTCCTGCCAGTCAATGCTTACTGTCATTAAATGTGGATTGTTAAATGATAACCTGACGTGATTGTGACCTCCGGTTCTTGATGGATTCCTCATTGACTTTGCTTGTGGGAAGATGGTGGAGAAAATGGCAAATTGCAGTCACATGACCAATGATTTGCTGCAAACGTTCAGAAGTCTGGGACACTTGCCAAGATAATCTCATGATTATCACATGACTGTTGTTCTGACCTAGGTTTTCCAAGAGCATACAGCAAACTCCTTGTCCCAACAAAAAACCCTTTTAGTAATATACTGTGAATTCTGCTTATTCACATCCAACAAAGTCTTTCAAGGGAGGATTTACAGTCACAGATCTTATCTGTCTTGGAGCGCTGACAAGCCAATCTCTGCAAAACTTGGCAAGGAGTCTTGGAGAGTCAACCAACTAATCGAACTAATTGTCTCCTGCAAACTCTACTCCCCTTTCGCTCCTCTTTTATTTCCTCTGGGAGGGCCATTCATCGTCCACCTGTGGTCTTATTCCCAAGTCAACCCCTGTTCTTTAGCTGTTCCCTTTGTCTGGCAACTCTGC